GCTTCCAGGCTTAAACTTTGCAAAGGCAAAGCTTGCAGGCTGGAGCGTCTTCCCACCAAGGAGCGGGAAGGGTTCCACCTGGCGGGCGGGGCGGGCTGCTTGGAGCCACCTAAAGCTAGGCCGCTGCTGGTGGAGCTTTGCCCTGCCTTGGTGCCCCGTTTCCCGGCTCGGCGGTCCTGCTCGGGCGGCACTTTAAAAGCCTGCTCCCAGAACACGAGCAACTTCCCAGCAACTTTCGGCTTCGTTTTAACTCGCGGGCGCTCGCGCCTGGCCCCGAGCCGTGTGGCGGAAGGGAAGCCCGGCGGGCAGGCGGGCAGGCTGCTTGGAGGAGGCTCCAGGCTTCCCCTCCGCCAGGCACGAGCGCCCGCGAGTTAAAACAAAGCCGAAAGTTGCTGGGAAGTTGCTTCGTTTTCCAGGGCTTTGCAAAGGCAAACTTTGCAGGCTGGAACGTCTTCCCGCCGAGGAGCGGGAAGGGTTCCGCCCGGCGGGCGGGGCGGGCTGCTTAAAGTTTGCTCGGGTAGCACTTTAAAAGCCTGCTCCCAGCACCCGAGCAACTTCCCAGCAACTTTTGGCTTCGTTTTAACTCGCGGGTGCTCGCGCCTGGCCCCAAGCCGCGTGGCGGAAGGGAAGCCCGGCGGGCGGGCGGGCAGGCTGCTTGGAGGAGGCTCCGGGCTTCCCCTCCGCCAGGCGCGAGCCGAAAGTTGCTGGGAAGTTGCTTCGTTTTCCAGGGCTTTGCAAAGGCAAACTTTGCAGGCTGGAACGTCTTCCCGCCGAGGAGCGCTTGCGCCTGGCCCCGAGCCGCGCGGCAGAGGGGAAGCCCGGTGGGCGGGCAGGCTGCTTGGAGGAGGCGACCCGGCGGTGCTCCGGCAGCAGCAAGAGGCAGTTTCGCCCGGGCTCCGCTCAGGTGTCCGGCTGGGGCTGTCAGGAGTTGCTACCGCCGGCGCAGCTCCGCGCGGCTCCAGTCCCGCATTGCCTTGGGAAGGAAAAGGCAAAACCAGGAGCCGCTGAGTCTGAGCCTCCGGTGCCGCTGCTCCCGTTGCAAAGCACCACCGCGGCTCTTCCTTTTTGCCTTTCCCTTCCCGAGGCAACGCGGGACTGGAGCCGCGCGGAGCCGCGCCGGCGGTAGCAACTCCTGACTCAGGGGGCCTCCGAGGGGAGGGGAAGGAGGAGAAGAGGAGGGGGGAAGGGGGGGCGATTCCCAAAAAATCTTGTGCTGACCCGGCCCGTCTGTCGAATTTTAAAAGTCAATGCGGCCCCAGAGCCAAAAAGTTTGCCCACCCCTGTTCCAGATGGTTGGCTCCAGGGAAGCATTAGATCTGTGGTATCCTACAATGTTTGGTTTTTGTTTTGTCTTTGTTAAGCTAATGAAGGCTACATCTGGTGTTAAAGGAGTGCTTTCCCCAACAGTAGGGTGCCAAAGAGGCCTTGAAATTACTACCAAGCTTTGCAAGCTCACCCATTCTTTGTAAGGTAGCTCTATTAAAGATTAAGATTTCTCTTGAGCAAATCCATTAAAATACAGGGTGTGTGTTAGAACGAGACAGAGACTGGTTTATTTGCATCTTTTAGTCTTATCAGCTGCAGATAAAAATCCCTTATATTAGAGAAGAGGTAGTTTCTGCATCCCCATCTAGATTGTACAGTGATTTCATATGTATATGGATTAATTTTTGCATTTCTCAATGCCAACTACCCTCCCCCACCAAATGGAGGATTTTTAAACACCAAACATCCCTTTTTAAAAGGTTCCAAGGATAGTAAAACATTGATTACATTATTAGTTGGCATCACATTTTAAATGTTCTATAAAACAGGGCATTGCAGTGTTTAAAAAGCCATGAGTTATATATATGTAAAACCTCTGTCTGAGAATATGAATAAGATTTTTTTAAAGATGCATTTTTGGATCATGCAGTTCTTAGAAGAAAAAAAGAGGTTTTGAGTAGCACTGATCAGTACCAGTGATCCAATGGTTCTGTCATTGATGTATGTTAATGTTAGATTTTTTTTTATCCCATTTCTCTCATGTATATGGATACACATACCACATCTGCCCCGATTCTTTTATTAATACAATGCATAGCTGATTTGTGAGCTCCACATCTGAGCTTGTTGATTTACAATCTCATCCTAAATTTTTTCATGGTCATATTCTCTCTTTTGAAAAGTAGATTCATTAATTAATATATATGCTTCTGCCTCTCTTTCTCCTCATCCTTCCCCTTCAAAACTATTGAAATGTAGATGGCTTCTTTTTCTGCTCTGGGGCTCCATATTAGCAAAGCTTGTACTGTGCAACCCAAGCTTGCAGGATTTTTCTCCTATTTACAGAAGGATGCAGCTTTTGATTGTTTTGTGAACAATCTCAGAAAAAGAAGAGCGGGGGAGAGTCTGCAGAAACTTTTGAATCCTGGAAATAGCCATGTTACAATCTAGTTTTATCTAATCTGGTTTCTTTAAAAAGAAAAAAGACAAAGCTAGCTGTTTGTGGGCCTTGATTTCTGTGGAAGTATGCTGGGGAGCTTGAGAGGAGTAAGGTGGTGGATGAAGGTATTGATTTGGAAAAGCCCTTAAACAGATTATTTTCAGATTTCTGTTTTTTTCTTCCTTAATGTTCACTGCATTTGATAAGTAGTCTTATCTCAATCTGACAGTTATTTCTTGAGGCTGTTTGGAACACATACCTTACATCTGTGCAGTCTGTCCATACTCTCATTGAATGCAGTTTTAATGGATGGGATCAGTTTGTTTTGTTAGTTTACTTTGTGCCCTCTCCTTTTTGATATGTTACAGATTTTTTTTCTCCTTTTGGCATGTTCCCCCTCCCCCCTTCTTTCTATTGTGGAGATAGCAATTGTTGAAGCTGGAGATGGAATATTGAATCTTATAGAAACTGTCCGTTCTAAATGGTTGGTCTGCTTTGTTCTCATTTAGGCAAACTATTTTTGCACAAAGGAATAGGTCAATCTATTACCCCCTGCCCCAGATTTGACCACTGCATAACACATTAAATTGTAATGAGCTGGTATGCAGATCATCCAGGATTAAGATAGCAGTGTTTTCATTAACCAGTGCTATAAAAGTACTCTCCTTAAAATAGATTCCGCTTCCAAGAAAATTGGATTTGGTTATATGTGTGTGTCATATTCTTAGTATTTCTTCTTGTTATTTGTATGTTTTATTTTGGTTTTGCATGTTATAGAGCCTGAAATCCTGTCTGAAGCACTGAATATTACTCATAAATTTATCTGGTGTCTGAATTTTCAGTAGGCACCACTCTTCTGAAATGTGTCTACATTGATTTTTCCAAAAAATAAAACAGACTCTTAGGCCTCTAAAATATACTCTCACTTCTCCCTTTCTCTTGCTCCTTAAGAATCGAGAATATCTATCCTTATCCAGTTCCATTCATTTAAAAATAGATCAGTTTGGGTTGTTGCATTCTCAGCATTTGAACATTTATGGGTTTTTTTGTAGTTTTTTCTTTTTTCTTTCTTTTTTGCTATCTTTAGAGTTTTTTCCTTGCAAGATATTTAAAACTATAGTCAGATTCTGGGAAAATTTCTAGGTGTCTGTCAATTCCAGAAGGATTAAAAATCGAGAACAAGATGATAAACAATTTTATAAAATTTGGGATCTATTCTATCAATGGTTAGACAATAAAACATGGTAATGAAATATGTAGATTCTTAGAAAATAATAAATATATAAAGATGTATTCTTTTCTTATATCTACAAAATGATTGTAGGATAGATTTGAGATGATAATATGAACTGTCATAAAACAATTTAAGTAAAATATGATTATTTTGTAAAACATGAATGAATAAAAGTATAGTCAAAGGATTGATTAACAATGATATTAATGTATTTAATACTTGATTGAAAATATGAGAATATATACAATGTAATTGTAATTGAAGACTACGAAATGGAAGCACAAAACAATTTGTAAACCAACCGGCACACTGTATGTATGTGTGTGTATGTGTATGTGTATACACACACACACACACACACACACATATGGAAGATGGCTTGATGTTTTTATGTTTTGTTTGTCTATGTTCGTCTTAAAAACCAATAATTTTTTTTTTTAAAAATACATGTATTATGTGGGTTGGTGGGCAGAATATAGTTAATATAGCTCACTGTTAAGAAAGAATGGAGTATGTAATTTATCCAAGCTAATGACAAGTTAAATCCTGCATTGTATTTTGACTGAAGATTGAATAGTAGAATATGGACGTGATATTTTTAACAGTTTGTATCTCTCAAAAGCCAAGCTATTAGTTGGAATAGACCAGGGCTGTCAAACTCCTGGCCCACGAGCTGGATGCATCACATGCTGGCCACACCCATGCCCAGTTTAGTGAAGGGGAGGAAATATGTCATGTGATGCCACCGTGACGATGTAAGTTTGACACCCCTGGAATAGACCATTGGATAAAAGAATTTAAGGCCATAGGTTGGCATATATCAGTCTGTTTCCAGAAAATGCCATGAAATTTTAAAATTGGAGGATAAACAGAAGGTTGTTATATTTATATTATAAATCTCTAATAAGATTCATCTTTCTATACAAAGCAATGCCGGAGCAAGAAGTGAATATCTATATTGCACTGCTGTCAACAAGTGAGAGAGGGTGACAATCTGGCAGATTGATTAATTTCCTAGGAATCTGTCAGTTAATCAGAGGTCATGGTCAGTATGCCCTCAGCATGTACTCAGCAACGTGGAACTTGTTAAGTTACCATCTACAATACATGGTGGATTACATGAACTCAGAGTCTGAGCATTGAGCCCTCAGTAAAGTAGTAGAACCTATATTAAAAATTGAGAAATCTTGCAAAAACTGCTGGGCTATTTATAAAATAGGTTTTATAAACTTTTACTTCTTTCAAGAATGGTTTTTCAAAAATGGCTCCCTATCCCAACTCCATATTGCACTTTTCAAAATTATTGATAATTTATATGTGTTATCAATTAAAACTATTAATATTTCTGTCGTAGATAACTTCTTACTCATTGCCTTGTTTTACATTATGAAAGTAAGATTTTCTTGAAGTGATAATTGAATCTTTTTGCCTGTCTTCATTTAGGGGCACCCCTTCCCATCTCATCTTTGCCTCTACTATGTTGCATTTTCAGCATCTTTTCTGATAGCTGTTGCAAATGAAAATGGAGGAAATGACTTTGTCGGGCCTGGATAACAGCAAGTTAGAGGTAAGTTGCAAAGCTTTTGATAGAGCAGAGCCAAAAAGACTATGGTGAAATGAATAGATTAACAGAAAAAATCTTGCAGTTCCGTTGGACAGAGTGAAGAGCCCGCTGTAGTCAGGGCTTAGCTTAGATGTGTGTGCTATGAGTCATCTATCTTTGACATTTGTATATAGCTATTAAGGAGTTTTTTTTTAATGTCACCATTTTCTGAAAACGAATATAATCTCTTTATATTGGGAAATATATAATAATATCCCGATCTCCCGATGTTCCTTGTTCTTGCAGTTAAGACATTTTTGGTCTTGTTGCCTTGCAGGCTTTGGCTCATGATATTTATACTGACTTGATTGAGGATGCTTGCCTGGGCTTGTGCTTTGAGGTACACCGTGCTGTCAAATGTGGATACTTCTTTCTGGATGATACAGATCCTGATAGTATGAAGGACTTTGGTAAGTGTATATTTCAACCAATGCCCTTCTTATGTTTGCTTACCAGGAATATTTTTTTTAATTCATAAACATTTTGAATACAGTGTGTTGTCAGTGCATATCATTTACAGAGGGAAAACAAGAAAAAAAAAAGAAATAGTAACATACTGTATACACTAATAACAATATCAATGGTGCAACAGAATAATTTTAACTAAATTTATCTTTATGTTGGCTTATTTGTAATCCTGTTGGTTATATTGGCATACTTATAGTTGTAAACCATCTTTATGTTTAGTTCATGTATAACAATAATCTTCTTTTTTTGAACTCTACATTTCTACCTCTTATCTCTAACCGTTCATAAAATCTATCCCATCTTAAGGAATATTCTGTATCTCCTGTGTCCTTTATTTTTAATATCAATCTGTCCATCTCTGCACAGTCCAATATTTTCCGACTTACATCCTCATATAATTTTCTCATTTTTCCAATATTGTGCAAATACATTCCTCGCTGCTGTCAACACACACAAAATTAGGTATATAGTCCCTTTATCATAGCCCTCTGGCATTGTGCCGAACAGAAATATTTCTGGTTTCAGACCTAACGTTGTTTAATCATCTTTTCCAACCATGTATGTATTTTCGTGCAGTGTTTTCTTGCTTTTATACAGGTCATATGATAATAATAGTAAGTACCTGGGAGGATTACACTTCCAACTCTTGGCAGACATATTGCTAAACATTTTTGCTAGTCTTGCTGGTGGTAAATGCCACCTATAAAATATTTTATAAAGATTTTCCTTATATGCAGTAGCCATTAGTTTCTATCCCAAAGTTTTTGCCATTTATCTAATTCTATAGTACAGCCGAAGTTTTTTGCCCATACAATCATTCTTTCTTTTATAATTTAGTAAGTAATTATGTATATATTTTAATCAGTTTTTCATCTGTCCCTAATAATATCTTATCAAGTGGCATTGCTTCTTTGTTAAAGCCCCATGTTTTCACATCTTTCTTGTATTTCGATTGTATTTGCAAATGCGGCCACCAAGCTAA